GAAAATTCTGACCGAAGGCACTTTCCAGCCAATCACTGCTCCCTTTGGGGGTGACAATAAGTCAGCTTGGGAGCGAGAGAATGACATCAAATCTCCTGATCAAGAGAAGGTGAGTGACCATAATCACCCCCCAAACTTACTTCGCCTCACACTTTCTGCCTTGCAGCTGCTCATTTTGCGCCTTGGATTAAAAAATATATTTTTACCATCTGCATGAATACATGGTCTGGCCATAATCCACATTTTTACAATACGGGAATTTCAAACTCCTTTGGTGGGATGAAATGTCCTTTTTTTTTCTCTTGGTCGTATTTCAGCTGTCCAGAATCTGGCACCGGAGATGTGCTTACAAATATCCAGCATAAGTCACGCTCATGACAAATTTGTGATGTGGCAGTTGCTCCGGTTTAGTTTCGCCAAGCTCTCTGCTTTGGCAGATGGCTTGTATCTCTCTCTCTGCTTTGCAATAACTCAGAAATGACTGATATCAGAGCCCATCATTATCCTGACTCTGTTAGGGAACATGAAGCAAATATTATCGCTTTCTAGCTTTTAGCCATAAATATATTAACTTCAATTGATTTCCACCTGTTTTGTGTCACTATAAACTCTCCCAGCTCCCATCCTGAGTGATCGTAGGTCTTGATGTGTAGCGGACCTGATTTAACTCCCTTTTCATTTTGCAGATCTCCGAAGTGAACCAGGAAATGGATAAAATGACTTTAACGTCTGATGATGTTCATCAGGTGAACAAGTTCAAGAAAACGTGAGTGCTGACTTACTACGTGCACTTCACGCATTTCTTCACTAGGTGGCAGTATGCTTTTATCAACACTTCAGTTTGCAGTAACAGCGTAATAATATTCTGCAGCTAATATACAATTCATATATCATTTCAAATAGTAAGACATATTGTATAAGATATAATTAAAAGGTTTTAATCAGTTTTCTGGCATGGTGTGTATTTTTAAACAATAATTTTTTTTGATTATTCATTCATCCTGTGGCGTTAATACTGAAAATGACTCAGTTTTGTATCTTGGCACAAGTGTGTTTTTTTTATTTCTGTACCCCTGTCCCAGAACATGTGAATCCAAGTTTAACTACTAATCTGCATGATAAAGGCAATTAGCGTTAATGATTAGAAGTGACAGGATGTAAGTTTCATATGTACAGAGAAATCACCTGCTGAAATTTCAGGCTGCCATAAGTTTCAGTTTTATTTAAAATTCATCAAACATTGTTGAATAATCGACCTGAACAAGCATGGTTGAGGGGGAGATCCAGGAATGTTCCCAGTGCTCATCATCCCCAGAGTCCGCCAGTGCCATGCTTAGAGACTGATAACCACAGCAGCCTTTCCCTTGTGCCTTAACTGGTCAAAAAAACCTAATGTTGATGTCAGAAATAAATTTTTAACTAGTTGAAAATCCATTTTCTGATACCTGGACTTCAGTTGTAACTCCCTTTAAAATAAATGAGAAGCATTTTGAATCTCCCAAACTAAATTGTATTTCTGATATCAAGAATTGTCGTTATGACGAGTCAGAATTAAATATCCCTTAGAAATGAGTTAAAGTTAAAATTGCCAAAAGAAAATGTAGAAAACATGCTATGTGCTATGTGCTATCACTGTGGATACTAGAGATTACAGTCCCAGAAGATCCACTTTCCACCTGGTAATATAGGGTGTTTTCTAAAGTACCTCTCTCTGTCCTCTTTCAGAAGACAAGTACTGTAAGTTAAACTAAAACCAAACAGTGGAGGTCAGTTAGTTTTCCAAGCAGTTTTGATTGCAGCTACCAATTAATTGGCTTGTGTTTTACACTGTGACGAGTTAGGAAATGATTATCCACTTATTTGTGGAGAAGGTGACCGTGTCCTGCCATCGGTACGCAGGGCCCTCAAACGCGGCCTCCTCACCCCAACCCCCCCGTGATGAGATTTATGTTACTGCAGGCACGTCTGCAGTAAGTATGAACCAGCTTATAGGCTGAGATCTTAACACATGACACAGGTACCTCTGGTCCCTCCAGCCTGGCACCTCCATCGTGTCCTCATCAGAGAGTCTGGAACTGCATGGCCGTGGGTTTGTCGTCACGGTGCCAGGTTCTGCACACAGGGTGTGCTGTATGTGGTCGCTCTGTGTGCTTAGGGCACAGATAACACCCCCTTCTGTCTCTGCATTACTATCTCCATCCAATTCCAGTGCATCAGCACTCATGCAGTGCTGGCCTCAGATCTCGGTGGGAACACAGTCACCCTCACTGGAGACCAGCATTGTTTTTTGTCCCATATCAGAAGTGAATTTGCATCTCGTTTAACTCGGAGACCTTTGATCGCACACGGAGAAGAAAATGTTTAATGAGGATGTGGATGGACAATTAGTGCCAAGACTCATTCCCTGGCTCATCTTAACCAATTATTCCTTTCTGGTTTCTTTTGAAACTGCATGGTTTGACCTTTCCAAAATAAATAAATAAAGGCTGTTAATGTAATGTTTTGATGGTAATGAGTAACCAGGCTTGCTGTTTACTTTTCCCCGTTTCCAAGGCCGTCTGCAGCAGACAGCTGAACTCGTCGGTGTCCTCATGGGCCCGACCTCCTGGGATCCTCTCACTGTACTCTTATTTACTATGGATGAAAGGCATAAGCAGAGGCGTTTTTCAAAGCCCTTAACTGAGCGGGATATTTCATTACAGCTATTATTAGACTGAGGGTCTTTCAAAAGGGTGTAATTTGAACCAACAACCTTCAGGTGCTAAGTCTGAATCCTTAACCACATAGCTATCTGCTCTTGGCGCTACTATGACCTTATTGCTTGAGCATGCTAATCTCATCACATGACTGTCTCATATAAAAAATATTTACACCCCTCACGGGGTGGGGGGGGTATGATGTGACTGTTTGTAAAGCACAAATAATGAATTTGAATTCAAATTCATGACAAATTCTTGGAGAACGATGGCAGTATATGTGCCTGATAGCAGTATGCAATGACGAGGTGTTATGGTTTCAAAGCCTACAGACCTCGAAGTGTCCATTTGGCTATACGACTACGGCGGTAACTCCACACCCCCAGTACACCGCGTGAAATCAGCTGTTCTTTTGGCTCTGCTCTAATCTGGTCCCACTACGTTCTATCGCCTCACTGCTGCCAGTGGACTCGTCTTGAGGGTTGACCTTGTCTGGTCTTTTCTCAATTCTGAGTCTTCACATCATGCCCCCTGTCCTCCAGTCTGAAGAGGCTGGGCAACATCTTACCTGTTTTGCGATTCCCCGAAGGTCCTTCGAGAAGAAGCCGACTCCTGTCAGCATGTCAAAATTGCTGAGCTTTGGATACGCCGAAGACGAGAAGAAGTCGCCCAACGGCGATGACGACGACGAGTCTAGTAAGGGGTCTTTTATTTTGTTAAGGCATTTTCGCAGACTCCCACAATGCATTGCCACAGATTTCATGATCACGTTTTATATGATGCTGCCATTGATATGATTTGCTTGTCGGAGTTTCTTACCCAGGGATTGAATGGTAACTTCCAATTATTTTATGCACCACTTAGAACTGTACGTTCTTTATAGCTGAAAATTTCACTTGTACAACCACTATGAACTACTACTCAGAAGCTCGATTCTGCTCCTCAGGTGTGACCTCTGACCCAAGAGACCCCACCCTGGCAGAGGAGAGCACAGGTCCTGGTGAAGCAGAGTGAAGCAGGAACCGTACCGCAAATGCCGCCCATACAATCTGACCTCCTTCACTCCAGATGGCCATCTTCTATCATTTTTTTGTATGCATCTGTATATATAATGTTTTTCAACGATTATTATTGCCAACATCCGATGTTTGCTTTCAGCATTCCCTGCTGGGTCTACCAAACGCAGCAGCTCCTAACGAGCATCAGAATGACTCTGTCGCTCGCTTGGACCACGCCCCCTTGGGACCCAGTCTCTGGAATCCTCTGTTTAAACTGTGAAGGAGCAGTTTTTGTTCGGCGCCTGAGGCGGCCCTCATCCTGCATTCAAATATTGCTAAGGCCTATGTAAAGTCAAGCTGTCCTCTTACAGAAGCATCTCACCTGCCGTGCATGATTGTCAATCCATCTTCCAACCTCTTATTGCAGTCAGGGTTGTGAGTCCGATATTAGGCAGGAACCTTCTCGTAAGTTGCTATTAGTAATTGAGCAAATTCTCCTCATCGAATACCTTCTCTTGATATATATCTGGCTTCACTGTGACATTCTAATTTGCTTTGGTGTAACTGTTACTTTTTTTTTGGAAGCTGTAGTGTAAAATGCAAGGTCTTCCGATGTTTTGACCAAAACCAAATGTTCGTCATTGCTGAAGGCATATCAACCAAACATTAAACCTGCACGTGCATGGACTGTCTATTTTGTTGTTTCATTTAAAAAGGACTTTATATTGATAAATGGACTTTTCAGTGTAGTTTCGGCATCATTCACCTTAACGCCGTCAGAATCCGCTGGCTACTTTCACAGAGCTGCCAACTTTGTTCATCACCGGAGGAATCATCAAAGGAAAATTCTAGATGTTTTGGACACAATGTGTTCCAGTATAAACAGTGCTTGCTTTGGATGCTTATTGATTAACTTGTATTACCAAAGACACGTGCCTTACTGTCAGTGCTCTGGAACTAGCTGAACATTGACAGGAACAACTTTGAAAACAAATCTAACCCCCACCAAACCCCACCCCAGACTGCAAACATCAAATATACAGTGTCTGTGAAAAAACTGTAGCCCCCCCACTTGCAATTATCAATGAGCTCTACTTGTATTTTGCATAGCATTTTACATACAGCAAGGATGCACAGTGTTGTGATACCAGCCACACGGGTCTGCTGGTTTAATATGGAGAATGAGTGTCGAATCGTTCTGAGGGTTTGTGAGTTCGTAATGTGAAAACAGTAGCTACAGCCGACATGAGGGCGTCGCATGGAGCGACTGTGCATCTGATGGGCGGGGGAGGGGTGCTGTTTTTCTGGGGGCGGAGCCGGAGGTTCATTGTCCCCAGGACCGTTCGGTGACGTGGGCCAGGTGTGTCAAAGGCTATAACAGCTCCTCAGTCTGCGGCAGGTCTTTAAGATCCTCCTCAAGCGCAGACGTGACAGTGGGGTTGCGTACCGAGAGCCAAGACGACGCTTCATCACTCTGTAAGAGCCGGCGCCGAGGTGCATCGACATCACAGAGCCATGTGTCACTTTGTCTAACACATACTTCCTGTGTTCTGACATTATTGTTATTTCAGGAAAACTGCAGTTAGTCAAAGATGCCACTAAAACTACTCAAAAGCACGGGGAATGAGCACAATGAATATACAAAGTAAGTTCTTGTGAATACTTGCTGTTAAAATGCAGTATTCATCTCAACAAGATTTTCGGCGCAGCATTCTAAAACAATAAGAAGCTCCATTTGTTTAGATCTGTTTAAATTCCATGTACAGCGAAAACTTTCTAGTATGTTCTGATGGAAAGAGGAGCAGGGTTGAGGTGATGAGATGAATTTGCCGTGTTTGATTCATGAATGTAAATTTTATATTATTAAGCCCTTTAAATACAAGAGTGCTGAGTGGTCTAATTTTAATGGTGAAACCAACGAAGATCAGCCTGGTTTTGTTTGACATACACTGCCCTGGGGTGGCATCCCGGTAAAGAGAGGGTTAATATTCTGCAGAGACCAGGAGGTGCATGTGATGAACCCATACCTGGACTCCATGGAAGAAGACATCCTCTATCACTTCAGCCTGAGCACAAGAACCCACAACCTGCCGAAAATGTTCGGAGACACCAAGGTGGGGAGAAGTTCAGCTTCCCGCAGATTGTTAGTGAACTGAGCTCGCTTTCCTGTGACATTGCCGTAAGGCCCTTAACGGCAGAAACATATAAATATGATTAAAATAATGTTTAGCAATCTAAAACAGATGACAACTAATCGAAATTTATGGATGCGAAAATCTAAAACCGAGAGAGCCCCAAGGAGAGGAGAAAATCCAATTAGAGGAATTTAAAAGAAAGAGGAAAAAAATGATTCTTAGGTCAATCAGGCTGCCTGGACTACTGGCACACTGGAGATGGGAGCAAGGCCATTGTCGCTTGTATAATAAGCCGAGCGCCGCCTTCTGCCTCCCCAGTTTGTGTGTGTTGGGGGCAGCGCCAGCCGCATGAAGGCCTTCGCTGAGTTCATGCACCAGGAGCTGGGTCTGTCCGGGAATGCCGGCGACATCCAGGACATCTGTGCCGGAACAGATCGCTACTGCATGTACAAAGTGGGACCTGTGCTGTCAATCAGTGTGAGTAAACTTCCCCCCCACCTCCTCCCCACACACACCTCCACCACATGTGGGTTCTGAAGTTTCCACGGCAACCGTACGGAACCCGTCTCCCTGACGAGTGACAGCATCCCTCACACGCGCATGCTGTTTTTACAGAGGGGGTACTAGCGCTGAGGGTTGAACACTCCCTGACAAAACGATGACCCGTTACACGCATGTCAGGTCAGAGGCAGAACGTCATGTGACTGTCCACTGTGGTTTTCCAGCACGGCATGGGGGTCCCGTCCATATCAATCATGCTCCATGAGCTCATCAAACTGCTTCACCACGCTCGCTGCCGTGATGTCATCCTCTTCCGCATCGGCACGTCAGGCGGCATCGGTGAGCTGATCCATACAGCCGGTCCTTTTTACTGAGGCGCATTGTGTTCGGTATCTTGTTCAAAGGTAAAATATCAAGGCCCTCAGAGTGAAGAACCTGCTCAACATCTACCAGGATGGTACCTTGCTGCCCCAATCTTTATCAATTGTTAGCATCTTTGGGTTTTAAAAATCATTGTATAAATCTAATGCTTTACAATAATAATAATAATTATAATTGGGCTTTATTGTTTCAATATTTAGCATAAATTAGCAGAATTAAAATGACACTTTTCAAATGTTCTCATGGATGGAGATGGAGGAATTCAGCCATGTTCCAGAAGGCCTGAGCACTGGAGGTTCTTCTGAACCACCTGATTAAACCTATTAAACCTCGTTAGAGCAAATTAAGCTATTTAAATGCCTATCTGAGCCCTAAATAAGATAGTCGGAGCTGGAGAATTTTCCGGACTCGGATCTCCAGCACTGTCGTCAAATAAAGTCATGCAAATGGCTCCATTAGAAAACAGTCTTATGAACAAGTAAATTGGTTTGACAGGACAGCTTGTCACATGGTGTCCTGTGCAGACTTAACCTGATTCACTTAGCGACAAATGCTGCTAACGCTGTACTAGGCTGCTGTGTTACTGCGCTTATCGGCAGATGTTGTATCCATGGTGCTAAATAAGCAGGTGGTGAATGTCTCTCGCAGGCCTGCCGCCAGGGACGGTGGTGATCACCGATAAGGCAGTCGACTCCTTCTTCCAGCCTCAGTTTGAGCAGGTGGTGCTCGGCCAGGTGATCGTCCGCAGCACGGAGCTGGACAAGGGCCTCGCACAGGAGCTGCTCCGGTGCTCCGGCGAGCTCCCGGCTCTTCCCGCCATCATCAGCAACACCATGTGCACCTTCGACTTCTACGAAGGTAGCGTTCCCTTCGACGCCACCGCGGTGTGACAAGACAGCATTCTGCTCAGCAGGGACGTGGGAGGTGTGGCAGACAGGCGAGACCGGCGCAGAGTTAGAAAAACACCCAGCTGGGGAGAATATGTGCTGATTCATGCTCCAAGTGGAGCAGTTGGTTAAAGTTCAGAGTACGGCACAGGTTATGCATGCAGTTATACTCAGTGGATACAGCCTTCTATGAAAGATGCTGTTTGTTTCTGGCAAATGTTGACATGATCCTGGATGTCGTGGTCTTGGTCCACACCTACAGCTTAGAGCAGAGGTTAGAGCAATCTTATCCAGTTAGGGTCGTTGTGTATGTGGGTTTTCGCTGCGACTCCCTAATTAGATTACTAATTAGAGGACTGATTGCCTGAAGAGTCCTCACACCTGGGTTTAAACAGCTTACCTGAAGGTTATCCCAAAAACCTGCATACACACCGGCCCTATCTGGATAAGATTGGCCACCGCTGGCTTAGATGTTTGGCTTCCTGGCTGAAGAATAGTGCTCCCCCTACAGGTCAAGGGCGACTGGATGGCGCACTCTGTTCTTTCTCCCCCGAGGAGAAGCTGGAGTACCTGCACAAGGCCCACAAGGCCGGGGTGAGGAACATCGAGATGGAGTCCACGGTCTTCGCCGCCATGTGCCACATCTGTGGCCTCAGAGGTAACCGGTTGGGCCATGAACTCCCTTTCTGAGACTTGCTGATGTGTCAGCCGACAGTAGGGGTACTGAACACCAAGGGGATTGTGGGTATTCTGCTCTCAATCCCAGATGCTGAACCAGAGTTCCTGCAGAATGTATCTAGTCATTTGCACAGTGGAAGTTTGGCTTGGGCAGACTTTTCTCCTGCTATACCGTTAATAGCAGCCAGAGGGCATGGAGGTTAAGGAGACAGTTGCTATGGAGCTGACAGAAAATCCCAGTTTGCCAGATCGGATGTGAGAAGCGCGGTGATGTTACATTCCTGCCGAAGCCTAACTGCGCCACTCAGAAACAGCGTTCACTGCCATGAGGCTGAATTTGTGTCTGTGCTTCCTGAGAAGGTGCCCAGCCCCCCCCCCCACATGCAACAAGGCGTTTGGGGAGAGGTGGCTCGGGTTTTATTTTTGCCACTTACCCTTCTCTCAAAGTGTGGAGAAAGGAGGACATGGGCACAAGTAGAAAATTCAGGTTCAGAAAGTAAAAATCCAGACCAAGATTTTGTTTCTACCAACCAGTCGAGTACTCTGTGACTGTGACTCTTTATACTCAACTGGTTGTTTGAAACAAAATCTTGGTCTACTTTCGGAACTG